TAGTCGTATGTTTACCCGGAGCGAAGCGGGAGAGGTTGAAAGTGCGCGGAGGCGGGGGGTGTTGTGGGCCGAGTGCGGAAAAGGAAAGCAAGGGTTTGAGGACTCGGGGAGGGGCGGGGCAGCGCGGGGCAGGGCAGTGCAGGACAGGGCAGGGCAGCTCCCCGGGGACTTCACCCCCGCTGCCCGTCTGACGTTTACCGGGGCCGCTCACTACCTGGGGCGGGGCGGCCCCTGCCGTTGCTAACACGCCTCCCCCTCCCCGAGGGGGATAAGCAGCGGCAGAGAAAAGGACGAGAAATAAATCCACTCCACACTGCCAGGCACGGCGACTCACATTCGACGTTGAGCAGCCACTTGTCCTCGATGGTCGAGTCGGCGATGGCCGGGTTCTCGGCCCGGCAGGTCAGGTACTTGCCGTCGTCCTCGATAGTCGGGACGAACTTGAGCACGCTCAGCGTCACGCCTTCCGAATCGGATTGCTGCAGAGTCTGCAAGTTCCAAGAGGTCGTCAGTGTTGCGCCAAGTGAAAGGGGCTCCTCCCCAGAAGCAGCTACCGCAGGCTCGTCGCGGAGGTGGTGCTGCAGCTCACCTTGTCCTGGTGCCGGATGTGGTGAGTCCCCTTCCACCAGCTGATGACGGCCAGCGGCCGCGAGCCCTGAGCCTTGCACTCGATCTCGTACGTCTTGTTGGACTCGAGGTGCCGCTCTCTTGTTGTTATGGTCACTGCCGTCGGCCGAACTGAGGTGAAAAATACATAAATAGAACCGATAAAAGAACGGAAGAGGGCAGCGTTGCTTCCGCAGACTTTAACGGCTTAGAAATTTCGAAATCTGTAGAGCGCAGAGTGCGGAGCAGGTCGCGATCTTTATTTGTTTTATGAAGGAACGGAGTCTACAAACGGCCCTCCTATAATGTAAGGTAAGGAAGGCCTATTTGACCACCGTAGCACAATTGGGTTGCAGTGGAAGGCACGAAACCCATTCATTAACATGGTTCTACGTGTGTGCACGCAAGACAGCATGTTCTTGACCCCTGACTTATCCAGAACATTTGCCTCAGGGCAGTGCAATTTTAATTTGCACCGATGCAATTTTCATCGGGACATGACAAAGTTCTCGGTTCAGCCGAGCACATTTACTTCACTCAACTTGTTTGGGCGTGCGACGGGGGCAATAACTCCCTTTTGATGTATACATGGTTTCCGAAATACTGGATTCCCAGTGATTCTCATCCGCCAATACTTATCCCTAAGTTTTTCTATGGTAACGCTTATTTCGACTGCTACTAATTAATTAATTAACCAGTTCCACTAGTTTTCCGCTTAATTTAGGCGATTTCTGTATATTTTGATTATTTTTTATCCTGATGATTCCCAGGCAGGTGCAGTACACATGATTCCCGGAGTTTCTGCCCCCTGCCCCCTGGCATGTGTGCGTATAATTTATTTGAACATTTTGCCGTTCAGCAGTGGTGGTCGCTCTAGCTGTTCGTGCATTTCGGAAAGGTTGGTGTTCGTGTGTCGGTTGTCGATCCACTTACGGTTGACGTCGAGCACGACAGCCTTTGCCTGTGGCATCGCTAAGTTGGTGTTGGACGCCTGGCAGATGAGCCGTGCGTGCAGGTGTTGTCGACCCACGTTGGGCAGCGTTAGCCTGTTGATGGTGACACCATTTTCGCCAACCTCCACTGAGTCGTCCAGCATGGCGTTCTCCAGGTACCACATGACGCGAGGTCGCGGTCGGCCTAGGGGAAAACATGCCGTCACGTTTCACAAACCACACCCCGTATCCCTACCATTCATCGTGTTAAAACTTTCAAAGCTTCTTACCTCCTCTCACTTCACATAGAAGAACTACGTTGGCACCTTCATTGTACGGCTGAATTAAGTTTTTTGTGTCTTTTCTCTCCGAATCAAATATCACAGGTTTAGAGGGTGGCACTGCAAAACACAAAAAGAGGGGGGGGATTAAACGGAATGAACTTGAACCTAAAAATTAAACAGAGTAAGTAAGGCTCTTACCTATGACGGTCAGGTTGACCCTGACGTTTCTGGTGGGTGAATTTCTAAAGTCCACCCGGCAGCGGTAGGTGCCCTCGTCGTCCACGTTGAGGGAGTCCACGACCAGCTCGGCGGGCGTGGTGGCCGTGCGAAAGTAAGCGCGCGGACCGAACGCCTCCGGCGAGGACCACAGCATCTCGTGGCCCTGGTTGCGGCTGCGCGCGTCAAAGCTGTGGACAGGCGACTGAATAACTAATTGTTCTTTGGAGGGCAGAAAAGGCTGGGGGAGGGGGAGGACGCCGTGGCACTGTAAATAAGTAAAAAGGACGGCGGCGGTTGCGGCGGGCTGGAAATGACTTAATCCTGGTCAGCAGTCGTAACATTTTATTCACACCTTGCAGAAGCGGGTGTGGCGAGGCGAGGCTGGCCACACTGAGGGAATAACGCGGCAACAGCAAAACAACGACATTTTCCCCACCGAAAGGGAGGAAAAAAATAACGCAAAAGCCGAGTCAATAATATATTCGGAAGAAAGGGTAGGAGGGGGGCAGTAATGTGGCCACAAGAGGCGGGGGAGACGGCAACTAAGGAGAGGGGGGGACGACGAAGAAGAAAAAGGATAACAGCAGGCTGGCATTACCGCCGAGAGAGAAAGAACATGGAAGGGTCGGCGGGGGCGTGATTCTGACCAAAACTACGCTTTTTTCATGCGCCTACGTTCGGGATAATGGCGCCATAACAATACCCGACTCAGGCCCTGGGCCCGCCCCGCCGCGCCCGCCCCGCCCACCTACCGCCTCGAGCCTCACCCCTTGGGGTCCACGTGGATGAATAATATTTTACTTCGGGTTGTAATCACGAGTCAGACCAGGGATATATATATACAGCAACGGTCGGACTTTCTTTGTCACACGCACGCACGTGAGTTACGTGTCTTTGGGTTTGGCTTCTTTCTTATCACATCGCGCGATACTAAGATTAAGACAGACACTTGCGTCATTGTCGAGGGGTCCTCCACTATCCAACTCGTTGCACACTTGCCCACACCCAACTTGCGTTGAACTCGCGTCAAACTCACAAAAACTCGCATTGACTCACGAAATTTTGCGAAAACTCGCAAATTTTGATCCCGACTCGCGCCTTACTCGTGTCAACTCGTTGTACACTTCTCATGGAAGTGGGAGACCACTTTGGCCATTGTTCCGCATCCTCTACCTTTAGAGCAGGAGAGATTCTCGCGTTATGACTGTGGTACTGCTGTAGTCGCAAGGACGTTTGGTATGTAGCAGCTTGCTTCCCCTTAAAAAGTCCATCTGCGCCGTGGGGACCGTCGGTGCTAGTGTTGGCCTTGGCGCAGACACTTACACACTCCCGCCGCGACGTGCCGTGTCCCAAGCGCCAGGTGTAACCGAGCTGTAACCGTCCCGCCCGGGGCGCAAGTATGAAAGAGCCAAAGCGGCGGTGCGAGCGAGCACACCACCTGCTGACCGCGTTGGTCCCGTGTCCCACCAACACACACACGCATACACATGCAGACGGCCCGCGCAAGCCGATGGTATTGGGGCTATTGGTGGGAGGGGAGGTGCGCCTCAGGCGGGGCCGCGGTCGCCACCTGTTTCACGGGGAGCCCCGGTGCTCTGGTCACCCAACGGGGTGGTTCCAGCAGCGGGAACTTTGATTGTACGCCGCAACATGCTCGGGGCTAACAGCAGCAGACCTTGACCCCGTGTACATACACAGGGAGAGAGAGAGAGAGGGAGAGA